TTCACAGTGGTCCTCTGAGCTCAGTTGTATCATTCCAACCTCAGAAATGAGACAACTGGGAGAAGTTGGATGATATTCCCAAGCCCATTATACACCAGTCACTTAGTGACTCCTGGGGCCACACAGATGGTATCAGAGACAGAATAAAGCTAAGACCCATCTCACTGCAAGTCTCAGGTTCCTTCTACCCCAGTGTGCATGAAATGCTAGCCTGGAAGGAACTTCAGAGTTCATGTAGTGAAGTAATTCCCCAAACCTCAGTCATTCAAGCATCTTCTCCACAAATTCTAACAGTCCCATGTAACACCTAAACCACGGATATGACTTCATATTTTTATTTAAATTGATTTGTAATTTTTACAAAAATTCATTAATTTGAAAAAAATGCTTTTTATCACTACCATAAGTGAAAAAGTCAGTATCACTTGCCATAAATGAGAGGTATAGTACTCAACTATGCTTACAATAGTCCTGCTGAGAAACTTCCCCCCAACTCAATAGCTTATAACAAAGTGTGCTTATTCTTGGGAGCACAGACATGCAGCTGACCACAGTCTGGCTACTCCAGCTGGCTGAGCTGACCAGGCTCCAGGTTGTGGGCCTACTCCAGGGAATCATGCTGGAACCTGGAATTACAGGACAGAGGCTGCCCTGCCTGGGGTTTGAAACCAGCACACAGTCCCTTACCTACAGTCCATTGGCCAAAGCAAGTCACATGGCCAATCCCAACACCACCCAGGCAGGGAGAGATGCTCCTCTCCTGGTGGTGGTAGAAGGAGGAATGAGAGAGTATTTGCCAAAAATAACAAAAATCTTATTTACCACATGCAGAAAAGACATAGTCAATATAATGAAAACAACAATACTTTAAAAGTTTGGTTAGCCATCACTGCCTCTGAAAGTAAGATTTCCAGATAAAATATAGGATTCTCATTTAAATTTAAATTTCACATAAGCAACAAATCATATTTTAAGATAAGTAGGCCCAAATATTGCATGGAACACAATTATCCTAAAAAATGATTTGCTGTTTATCTAAAATTCAAATTTAACTCTATTTTCATTTGCTAAAGCTGGCAACTTTATGCAGACAGATCTTAGTCTAGGCCTATTTTTTTTCCCCTAAAAAAAGAGAGAGACATTAGCAAGTCTTACATATATTCTATGATTAACCTGACACTTTTCCCCTAACGTAGAAACAACAGAAAGTGAATTGAATATTACAGAATAAATATCTCATGATGTGATTCGGCACCACAAAAGTTCTTTGCTGTGTCTTATGACATGATCACACATTTTTATTTAAGATTATCTTGCAAAATATCTATGCACCCAACACAGGATCATCTACATATGTGAAACAAATACTAACAGAATTAAAGGGGGAAATAGAATGCAATGCATTCATTTTAGGAGACTTCAACACACCACTCACTCCAAAGGACAGATCAACCAGACAGAAAATAAGTAAAGAGACAGAGGCACTGAACAACACACTAGAACAGATGGACCTAACAGACATCTACAGAACATTCCATCCAAAAGCAACACGATATACATTCTTCTCAAGTGCACATGGAACATTTTCAAGAATAGATCATATACTAGGCCACAAAAAGAGTCTCAGTAAATTCAAAAAGATTGAAATTGTATCAACCAGCTTCTCAGATCACAAAGGTATGAAACTAGAAATAAATTACACAAAGAAAACTAAAAAGTCCACAAACACATGGAGGCTTAATAACATGCTCCTAAATAATCAATGGATCAGTGACCAAATAAAAACAGACATCAAGCAATATATGGAGACAAATGACAACAATAATTCAACACTGCAAAATCTGTGGGATGCAGCGGAGGCTGTGCAAAGAGGGAAGTATATTGCAATACAGGCCTACCTCAGGAAATAAGAACAATCCCAAATGTACAGTCTAAATTCACAATTAACAAAACTAGAAAAGAAAGAACAAATGAGGCCCAAAGTCAGTAGAAGGAGGACATAATAAAGACTAGAGCAGAAATAAATAAGATTGAGAAGAATAAAATAATAGAAAGAATCAATGAAAGCAGGAGTTGGTTCTCAGAGAAAATAAACAAAATAGATAAACCCCTAGCCACAATTATCAAAAAAAAAAAAAAGAGTCTACATACATAAACAGAATCAGAAATGAAAGGCAAAACCACTATGGACACCACAGAAATGCAAAGAATTATGAGAGAATACTATGAAAAATTATATGCTAACAAACAGGATAACCTAGAAGAAATGGACAACTTTCTAGAAAAATACAACCTCCCAAGGCTGACCCAGAAATAAACAGAAAATCTGAGTAGACCAATTACCAGCAAGGAAATTGAACTGGTAATCAAAAAACTACCTAAGAACAAAACTCCCAAACCAAATGGTTTTACTGCTGAATTTTATCAAAGAATTAGTGAAGACCTAATACCCATCCTCCTTAATGTTTTCCAAAAGTAGAAGAGGAGGGAATACTTCCAAACTCATTCTATGAGGCCAACATCACTCTAATACCAAAACTAGGCAAAGACACCACAAAAAAAGAAAATTACAGACCAATATCCCTGATGAACATAGATGCAAAAATACTCAACAAAATATTAGCAAACCGAATTCAAAAATACAACAAAAAGAGCATCCATCATGATCAAGCGGGATTCATCCCAGGGATGCAAGGATGGTACAACATTAAAAAATCCATCAACATCATCCATCACATCAACAAAAAAAAGGACAAAAACCATATGATCATTTCCATAGATGATGAAAAAGCACTTGACAAAATTCAACATCCACTCATGATAAAAACTCTCAACAAAATGGGTATAGAGGGCAAGTACCTCAACATAATAAAGGTCATAAATGGCAAGCCCACAGCCAACATTATACTTAACAGTGAGAAGTTGAAAGCTTTTCCTTTAAGATCGGGAACAAGACAAGGATGCCCACTCTCCCCACTTTTATTCAACATAGTTCTGGAAGTCCTAGCCACGGCCATCAGACAGCACAAAGAAATAAAAGACATCCAGATCGACAAGGAAGAAGTTCAACTGTCCCTGCTTGCAGATTACATGATATTGTACATAAAAAACCCTAAAGAAACCACTCCAAAACTACTAAATCTAATATCTGAATTCAGCAATGTTGTGGGATACAAAATTAAGACACAGAAATCTGTTGCATTCCTATACACTAATGATGAACTAGCAGAAAGAGAAATCAGGAAAACAATTCCATTCACAATTGCATCATAAAGAATAAAATACCTAGGAATAAACCTAACCAAGGAAGTGAAAGACCTATACTCTGAAAACTACAAGACACTCATGAGAGAAATTAAAGAAGATACCAATAAATGGAAACACATCCCATGCTCATGGATAGGAAGAATTATTAATATTGTCAAAATGGCCATCCTGCCTAGAGCAATCTACAGATTCAATGCAATCCCTATCAAAATACCTACAGCATTCTTCAATGAACTAGAGCAAATAGTTCTAAAAGTCATATGGAACCACAAAAGACCCTGAATAGCCAAAGCAATCCTGAGAAGGAAGTATAAAGTGTGGGGAATTACGTTCTCTGACTTCAAGTTCTGATACAAAGCCACAGTAATCAAGACAATTTGGTACTGGCACAAGAACAGACCCGCAGATGAGTGGAACAGAATAGAGAGCCTAGATATAAACCCAAGCATATATGGTCAATTAATATATGGTAAAGGAGCCATGAATATACAATGGGGAAATGACAGCCTCTTCAACAGCTGGTGTTGGCAAAACTGGACAGCTACATGTAAGAGAATGAAACTGGATTATTGTCTAACCCCATACACAAAAGTAAACTCAAAATGGATCAAAGACCTGAATGTAAGTCATGAAATGATAAAAGTCTTAGAAGAAAACATAAGCAAAAATCTCTTTGAATTCAGCAAATTTTTCCTGAATGTATTTTCTTGGGCAAGGGATACAAAATAAAAAATGAACAAATGAACTACATCATGCTAAAAAGCTTCTGTACAGCAAAGGACACTATCAGCAGAACAAAAAGGCATCCTACAGTATGGGAGAATATATTTGTAAATGACATATCTGACAAGGGGCTAACATCCAAAATACATAAAGAACTCATACACCTTAACACCCATAAAGCAAATAATCCTATTAAAAAATGGGCAGAGGATATGAACAGACAATTCTCCAAAGAAGAAATTCAGATGGCCAACAGGTACATGAAAAGATGCTCCACATCACTAATTATCAGGGAAATGCAAATTAAAACCACAATGAGATATCACCTCACACCAGTTAGGATGGCCAACATAGAAAAGAACAGGAACAACAAATGTTGGCAATGGGGAAAAAGGGGAACCCTCCTAAACTGCTGGTGGGAATGTAAACCAGTTCATTCTATTTACAAATAGCCAGGAAATGGAAGCAACCTAAGTGTCCATCAGTAGATGAATGGATAAAGAAGTGGTACATATACACCATGGAATATTACTCAGCCATAAGAAGAAAACAAATCCCACCATTTGCGACAACATGGATGGAGGTAGAGGATATTATGTTCAGTGAAATAAGCCAGGCAGAGAAAGGCAAGTACCAAATGAATTCACTCATGTGTAGAGCATAAGAACAAAGCAAAAACTGAAGGAACAAAACAGCAGCAGACTCACAGCACCCAAGAATGGACTAACAGTTGCCAAAGGGAAAGGGACTGGGGTGGGGGATGGGAAGGGAGGGAGAAGCACAATAAGGGACATTACGATTAGCACACATAATGTAGCAGGGGGCAGGCACAGGGAAAGCAGTATAGCACAGAAAAGACAAGTAGTGATTCTATAGCATCTTACTACATTAATGGACAGTGACTGTATTGGGGAATGTGTGGGGACTTGATAATGGGGGGAATCTAGTAATCACAATGTTGCTCATGTAATTTTATATTAATGATAACCAAAAAAAATTATCTTGCATACCTGCTGAGCTAATTTTCTCTTGCTTGCCCAACTCTGGCCAGCTCTCCATTTCTACTATGCAGAGGAAGAAACTGAAGTCCAGGGGTTGGTGAGAAGCTTATCCAAACCCACACAGCCATCAGCCAAGTTCCTCCTCACCACGGGATGTTCTGTGAAACTCTGAATTCTGTCCCTGCAAAAATAGGAATAGTTGGATACATTTCTCTCCTCAGGATATTTGTTGATACATTCCAGAAAGTTCTGAAGGTCAAGATCATTATTCTGATTTCAGGTTTAAAGTGTGAAAAAGAGGATGAGAAGTTTTCAGTAACTTCTGGCAGGCAGATTAAATTTCATATGAGCCTTGCTCATCTGTAACCCCAATATACTAGAGCTACATGGAAATAAATAACTTTTCAGTTTCCCCCAGATGCTTGAGATAAATGTCTAGATGCAGAGTAGTTATAAATTTAAAGTCATGTACTGTGGGCATCTTTTCTAAAACTGCTAATCACCTGCTCTGTCTACCATGATCCTGTGCGCCTGAGGAATTGAGCTGCTCCAGTATTTAATGAGAAAAGGAGAAGACTGGGTTTAATTTATTTGAAGGGTCCCTCTACTCTAACTCACAACACAGAGAAGCATGATTTCAGTGCAGACTGGAGAACATTAAAGAGTGTCTAAAGTCCTACAAAATCCTCTTCAACTGGATCATGTGCTTGGAGGAAGAGCCCCTATACAGTTAAAAACAACTTGGTTACTGGGAGGATGACTCACTCCTCATGCAGCTCTAGATCTGGGACACCCTCCTGCTTGTTCAGAGTTCTCAAAGTCTGCTTTGATCCCTCCTTCTCCCCACCTCCCCCCTCTTTCATAGAGCCTTCCCAGATCTCCACAGCCTCCAGAATTATACTCTGGATTTACAGCCCTTGCACCTTGTCCCATTTATTTTATAATTATTAAGTCTGGCTGTATGATGTCACCAACATTGTGTGTAGATGTCATAGGTGAAAAGGGTAGTTGTTTATCAGGGTGTTGGGACACTGTTATATAATGAAAATTCTCATCTTTATCTCTGCACATCTTTATTCCCTGATGGTGAACTGTTTTCTCTCTAAAAGCGATTATTTATTTATTTTTTTTTTGAGAGGGCATCTCTCATATTTATTGATCAAATGGTTGTTAACAACAATAAAATTCAGTATAGGGGGGTCAATGCTCAATGTACAATCATTAATCCATCTCAAGCCTAATTCTCGTCAGTCTCCAATCTTCTGAAGCATAATGAACAAGTTCTTACATGGTGAACGAATTCTTACATAGTGAATAAATCCTTACATGGTGAACAGTACAAGGGCATTCATCACAGAAACTTTCGGTTTTGATCACGCATTATGACCTATAAACAATCAGGTCAAATTAAAAGCCATTATTTTGATATCCCAAACAAGAAAACTAAGTTGCTCTCTTATCCCTAGAATGTTCTATCTGGCTTGCTTTTCATCACTGAAGAGCCAATTCCAAGTTTAGCTTCAGGAAGACACCCTTGATCCTTGAAACTGTGTTACACGTCCCTTTGTGACACTCTCATGGTGCTTCCAGCTACCTACAGCAAGGGTCAGATTACACTATCCAGAAAGAACCAGAGAGTAAATATACCCAGCTGTATGAGCCCCATAAAGTGTTGCAACTATTCCACTCTGTCTCTAGCTTAAAAGCAGCTGTGGGTGTGGCAGTATTCCAGTAAAACTTCATTGATGGATGCTGAAATCTGAATTTCATATCACTTTCACGTCATGAAATAATATCCTTCTTTTGATTTCATTTTCTGGCCATAAAGAAATGTGAAAACCAGTCTTAGCTATAATCCACAGTAAGAACTGGTAGGCTAGATTTGTCTTTGAACTTGGCTTCCATTTGCTAATCTCTGACCTAAAGTCTTATTCTTGTACTTGACTTCCCAGTGCTCTAAGAGCTCTCCTGGGAACCTTCTGTCTTGGCACACGTAGGACCTAACAGGGTGCCTGGCTTCCGTGGCAAAAGTAAAGCGTAGCTCTCCCCAGACTTCATCGTTAATCACCTATTCTGTTCCTTTGTGGTCCTCACATGGGCCAGTGGGAAGGACCAACAGGGTGTTTAATGAGAAAATGCCTAGTTGGACTTAAGTAACATGGAGCTGTCTTTGTCCCCCACTACACAGAGACAGGAAAAAGGCACCATAGCTACACAAGCCCAAGAACATTGAAAGGCCTTTAAATCCTTTAAAATCTGCAATTGAGTTGTGTGCTTGAGAGCAGGTCCCAGCCACAGTGCTATCAATGGAAGCATTCTGCTGACCTTCTTCTCACCTACTGCATCTTAGCACTAAAGTTCTAGTCACCTGGTAAACCCTTCCTGCTTGCTGAAAATCTTCCCAGGCTTGGACAATCCTTTTCCTTCTTCAGGAAGCCTCCTCAGGCCCATAAGTTTTTGTATAAGCTGACACTACTGCCTGGAATGTTCTCCTTTGTAGCTAATTTCTTCTCATTTTTTTAGGTCTCAGCTGTAAAGTCACACCCTTAGCAAGGCTTTCTCTGTCCACTCTCACAACATAGCCGCCCATCCCCATTCTGTATCTCAATACTTGACTTTTCCTTTCCCAACACTGTCATGATTTGTAACTTCTTCCCTTTTTACTGAGTAGCACAGTCTAGCACAGTTCCTGACACATAGAGGGTGCTCAATAAATTACTTGCTGAATGAATAAGAAGTTGGCTTCGTGAGTCACATTGTCTATATTTAAATTCCAGAACCGCACTTCCTAACCTTTCTTGCCATTTACTTACCAAACTTTGTCACTGTTTTTTAATCTATAAAAGGCAAACAAATAATGCTTCATAATATCATAAATATAAAATGAGAAAAGCATATGCAAAGTGCTCAGCCCAGTGCCTGGCACACAGTAAAAACATAATTAGCAGTATGCATGTATTATGTATTTCTGTCATCTCTATCATGTGCACCCATCATCCACTATCTTTCAGTCCATCAGCTACAATCTACCATCTCTATTATACCTACCATCTGTCATCTATCAGTCTCTATCATCTCTATCATATATCAGTAAACTATCTTCTAGCTACCTATTTTTATCATATATATCAATATCTATTCATCTGTCTATCTATCATCTATCATCTCTGCCATATATATAAATCTATCATCTACCTATCATCCATCTCTCTATCACCATCCTTATCATTATATTTCTCTTAGGTGTATGAATTCATATCAGAGATAATCCAGCTAATGGTTTTACAGCTACTTCTTTGTCTTTGGCTACAGCATGTTCAAGACCTCTAACACAGCTTTTGCTAGAAACCAGAATAAAAAATCCAAATGGTCAGAGATTTCTCACATTTTTAGTTTCGCATCACATAATTGCCCTTGTCCATGATTATATGCATGAACAGTGCATTCGCCCTTGGAAAGATAATTCTTCTAGTGGTAAGACTGAGTTCTGAGACACTACATTTCCCACAGATACTTTATACTACATGAGAACTACCATCAGTTAGTCATATCTTACAGATGCTGACCATTTCATAAGAGTTACTTTTTATTATTGTTTTTTAAATATGTGCTTCAGCTTGAAGCACTGGGAGGTCTCTATCAAGTCTGGATATTATGCTAATGAAGGCAAAACTGTCTTGTCCAAAATTACAGAAAGGTACGAGGAGTTAATTGTTGCAATTATCCATTGAGTGGCTTTGGACTGTGAATTCCGGAAAGGATGGCTTGCTAATTGCTGCTAAATGGTGATTAGATTCCACTCTCCATGTTTTCAGTATGAACTGGAGTTTAGCACACCTTAAATAATCATCTGCATCAGACTAGAGGGCAGGGAGGCCATCATCAGAGTCTGATTAAAAACACACACATGAGCATAAACTTACTAGTCTGAAAATTCTATTGTTCCTGCTTTGCATGATAGTAGTTATTTTACTAGATCATAACTTTCACCTGTTTCAAATAATTGGTCAAAAGAGAAAATCTGTGCCTTCTGAAAATTACAGCAATGAACTGAAAAAATCATGGATAGAATTTGATTATTCATGCCATATGGTTATATGTTTAAGTGGTTGTTTTAAATTGACATGGCCCTTTTTTCTATGAAGGGTTCAGGATGGATTTAGAAATTTGCCATTGTTGGTAGCAATTATGTGCCATATTAAAGCAACATTTTAAAGCCAAAATTTTAAATTCCTGTATTTTTTCATGGCTGACTTTGTTCTTCATTTGTCTTGTTTTGGTTTTATATCCTGCACATGCATCCTGAGGGCAGGCACTGGATCTTCAGTATCTCTAGCATCTACTTCCCTGTCAAACCTGACTGAATTAATAATACATGAATAAATAAGTGAATAAATGAACACCATACAACAATGTCAACTTAACAGTATGCTACCCAACATAAGAACTATTATCCTATGACATTAATATTTTAAGAGTTCTGTTTCCAGGGTCAAAGTAGGAAAAGGCCTTCTCCTTGAAATTTTCTGATCAATAGTCCTTAGATATGCGACTGGCATCTAAAAAGTTAAAATATACTTGGAATATGCAATCCCCTGGCTTCATGTCAGGATTAATTGTATTGGTGTTACTTTTTTATCTCTTGATGTGGATTAACACAAAACAAGACAGATTTGGAAAGTTTGTTCCTAAGCACCCATTAAAAAAATTGAACAACTGCAAGAAATATGCTTAACACACTGTGTGCACACAAGAAATCAAAAGAAAGGAGAACATTCTCCATTACCTGAAATGAAACAGGGTTCTAGGTCTGACTTGAACCTACCTGTACCTGATGTTTTGCTTTTTACTACATTAGGACACACCCAGGAAATATGCATTTTGATACAGGAATATTGTGGTAAGCTAAATAGGTAAGAACCCAAAAGACTACCCAGTCCTAACCCTGCAACCTCTAAGTATTACCTTACTTAGCAACCTGATTATCACCTTGGAAATAGGGTCTTTGAGGATGTGATTAAAGATTTTGAGATGAGGTTTTCCTGGATAATCTAGGTATGTCCTAAACAAAGTCAAAAGTGTCTGTTAAGAGTGAGATCACAGAGATTTCAGACAGAAGAGAAGCAGGCAACATGGCTATGGAGGCAGAAATTGGAGGATGTGACCACAAGCCATGCAATGCTGGCAGCCACAGGAACCTGAAAGAAGCAAGAACAAATCCTTCCCTGGAGCCTCTGGAGGGAGCATGGCTCTTCTGACACCTTGATTTTTGCCTAGTAAAACGAATTACCAACTTCTGGCCTCCAGAAACTATAAGAAAATTATTCCTGATGTTTTAAGTCACCAAGTTTGTCATAATCTGTTAAAATAGTCACAGGAAACTAATATAAATAATTTTGTTTTTATTCAGATTGGAAAAAAAATCCTGATACATTCTATAAATTCTTATTGCTACTTCTCCTCAGCGGCCTTAAGCTGCCTCTCACTTGTTGGAAGATCTGAGGTCACCATTTGATGGAGGGTGCGTGCTATACTAACAGGCTGGGGAGAAGCCTATGAATGGAACTACCACTGGTAAAATCTCTCTCAAAGTGGAATTCCAATGCAACTCAGCGAGAAGGAACGTGTAAGTGCCAACTGCCTTGGACATGGATCAGGGAGGCATTCAAGATCCTTTAAGATGGTGCTCAAATACCTAAAAACGATTCTAGTATTTACATGACCAAAGCACATTTTTTTCATTTATCCTAAGAGTTAACAAAGAGAAATTTCTGTGAGTCAGGGCCATCCCTGGAGAAATGAGCTTCACAAAGCAGCATGGATGACCCACTGACAGGATTTAGCAGGGACACAAGCTTTAAGTGATCAGAGTGACCAGGTGACCTTTACCATCTCTTTCAGGAGAGAACTTGTATTTCTATGATTTTTGAACACCATCTAACATTGTATTTCCATTTTAAACAACAGTTTCTTAACGAAGCAAACGGGTTGAATTACAGCATCTGTAGCCAAGGAAGGACTCATTAAACAGTCTGGATGTTTTCCAAAGCTGTGCAAGACTGTTTTCTGACCCACAGAAGAATTCAGCAGAGGAAATTTACCTGTCAACTTCTGCTTTAACAAGCAACAGCAAAATGCTGGAGTCAACAACACAATCTATAAATGTGTATGGCAGCTAATTTTTAATTGGCATTTTCTCTAGCACCTGCCATAGGAGTTTCATACATTTATCAACATATTAAAAATGCTTACTTGGTATTTGCAATCTTGTTCCTTTCACACGTGATCAACGCTACTCAAATTAGTGTCCCTCTGAACACTCACAGATAACGTGGAGTGAAGAAAAGCTCTTTTTACACTTGGCTAGTTGGAAGGGGTTTCAGGGTAAGAGCTCCAATCCTTCATTCTAAAAATAAAAAAAACTTGTTTAAAAGACCAATGCCTATGCTTCCTGTTCCAGCTCTTGGTAGCAGTAGAAGTTTCTAGAACAACAGGACATACTTGCAGAGACATGAAACGTGATCAGGGACTCAGTTGGGGAAATGCGATGAAGAAGGTAAGGCAAGAATGGGAATCATCTACACTGGCTTTAATAGTGTCCCCCACAGGGTGATGTCCATCTAGAACCTCAGAATGTGACTCTTTCCTTATTTGGAAACAGGTCTTTTCTAATGTAATTAATGAAGATGAGTCATAATGGATTTGGGTGAGCCCCAAAGCCAGCAGCTGCTGCCCTTATAAGAAAGCCCGGTGGGGAGAAAGGGGAGAGCCCAGGTGAAGATGGAGGCAGGAACTGGAACAAGGCAGCTACAAGCCAAAGAAGCCAAGGATTCCAGCTGACACTGCAGGAGGAACCCACCCACAGAGCCTTGAGAGGAAACCTGGGCCTGCCCACACCTTGACTTCAGACTTGTGCCCTCCAGAATAAATTTGGTGAGTTAATACATTTCTACTGTTTTAAGCCACCCTGTTTGGTGATCTGTTAGGGAAGCCCTAGGAAACTAGTATATGTCCACCCCACCTTATCATGAAAAATGATGATAATGATACTGGTAACTTACATTTATCAGATTACTATGAGTTAAGCACTAGCCAAGTCTTTTACATGGATTGTTCGCTCTAATCCTCGTCACAATCCTGTGAGGCGGGTTTAATTACTATTATCCTCATTCTACACTCACTTGCCCAAGGAACCAGAGCAAGTGGCTGAACCAGGACTTGAACTTCGTACTTCACAATGGGGTGCATGCTCTTCACAACAATACTCAACGGTCTCCTGAGGATGATGGTGACGGTGGCATCTCCCAAACTCTCAGCTCTCAGAGACAAATACCCCTCTTCCTGCTTTACTCTCTCGTCCTACTCCTTGAGGGTGAATATAGAACTTTAAGGCAAATGACCAAGCACTCAACTACTTAATCAGTAGAAAGCAAATTACAGCAGAGAATTCCTACAGTCAACCATTAGGCCTCATGGCAAACCACTGCAATCAATGTCATCTTATTGCTAGGATTCAATTACCCTGACTGAATGATTTTACTTCTGAGGGGAGAGACAGAGACAAAACACAGAAAAAAATTATTCTTTCCTGGGTGGAGTTGTGTTTAAAAGCCACTATGAGGGAGCTGAATCACATATCCTGTCATGTTTTTAATCTAATGGAATCATAGGTATTCTCAAATAAGGAAACTAAGGACTAGAAATGAGAAGGGTCTTATCTATTACTAAAGGCAAGTCAAATAAAGATTTGAGATTAGAAACCAGATTTCCTGACTACTATCCAACATTCATTATGTACACCCTTCCATCCACGCATCCACTTTCGTTCATCCTCCATCCATCCTTGCCTCCACTCACAAGTCTAGGCAAGCATTGATCCACCCCCCACTCACCCATCTAGAGCTTATGAAGCACCTGCTAAAGGTAGTTACTGGGGATATAAGGCTGAATGGGACAGCATCTCTGCCCTCAGGAGCTCAACAACACACAATATTAGACTGTTTGGTTCATCATTTAAGAGTTTCTAGAAACAGAGTGCTAGGAAAACATAAGGGGAGGTTAATGTGAGTGTAGGGTGGGCTGTCAAAAACAGTTCCAGCTGCAATACCATTTTGATTTGGGTTCTAGCACCCACATTTCCCTTCTTTAGTTTTCTGAAATAAGGAGACCAATTTCAGGGAAATGTAGTTACTGTAAAAATCCCCATAAACAAACAAATATATATATATGATATATATTTATCATATATATCACAGGCTCTGCAGAATGTCATCATGGAACTAGTTTTTTTTTTTATGCTAAGTTGGCATGCATTTGGAGAGGTATGCATTTTTAAATGGGGTCTGTTTCATGTAATACAATGAAAAAAGCATGAGAGCAGCATTATTACAAAGGAAAAGAACTTCGTGTAATTACATTAAAAAATGCAGTGGTCTTTCCTTGTTTTCTTTCAATTTCCTCCCAAATGCACAGGGATACATTTGTACTGAGCCTCAGTAAGGGGACTGATTAAGAGCTCACCCTCTAGGAATTAGACTGGCCTGGATTCAAATCCTACTTCACCTTTTAACTACAGGAAAAATACTTAACATTTCTATGTCTCTGTTTCTTTAATTGTAAAGCAGAGCTGATCAAGGTATAAGGTTCATGGTAATTTTAAATATTAAATGAACTTATACACAAGAGTATGTAAATCATGGTAAAATTATTAAGAGTACCCCCCATCCTAACATTTGTTAATTTGATAATGTGCAAGTCACTGTACAGGAAGCACATTTAATATACATACCAGCAAAGGCAACCACTCTCTGTATTTCTTTTGTGACATGATTTGCTTTATATTTACGCCCATATGGTACTACTCAGTCAGTCAGTGCCCCTGTTTGTTTGAGGTATTTGTGTGGCTGATGCCATATGGGTAGAAAAAAGCCCCTGAGAAAGCTCAGAAGATAGGGCTTTGAATGGTGGCTCTTGTATTTACTGCATGTGTGGCCGCAGGCAAGTTAGTGGTTCATTAAGCCAGAAGGGACTTCAATGATGATCTGGTGCCGGGATCTCCTCTGCAGATGAGCACACTAAGATCCAAAGGGCCTCAGACGTGTCCAGGGTTCACACAGCTAATTAGTGGCAGAGCTAAGTCACTTTACAACAAGTCTTTCTCCCTTTAAACACAGACTAGAAATGTTTCACGCTGAGTCACATTGTTGGACTCAAATTCCCCGTCTGTCTCCTCCTCAGCATGTAAGACAGGGCAAATGACTATCCTATACTTCAGTCCTCAGCTGTAAAATAAGGAAAATGTTAATTATCTATATTGTTGGGATTTTGTCAAGATTAAACATCATAACCAAATGTGAGTAGTTTGAAAAATGTCTGGCATTATATTATTACTATAGGTTTGGATTACATAATTTGTCTTCATTTATGATAAAGGAAAAAACTTTGAATACTCAGTATTTCACATCACAACTTCAGAATATAAAAAAAAATTAAAATCTTAATTTTAATTATTTATTCATTTATTAACCAAATACTTATTGAATATTTATTAAGTGCTAGATACTGTTTTAGGTGTTGGGATACAGCAGGAACAAAATATACTGAACTCCCTTAAATTCTAGTAGGGTTGGTGGAACAGTAATGAATGAAAAAGTGAATTATGAATGTATCTGAAGTGCTACAAGCTGTAGAGGAAAGTAACACAGGGAAGTGGCTAAGGGGTATGGCAGGGANTATGAATGTATCTGAAGTGCTACAAGCTGTAGAGGAAAGTAACACAGGGAAGTGGCTAAGGGGTATGGCAGGGATGAAAAGAACTGAGCAAGGTTGTTGGCATTTTAAACAGAATGGCCAAGGAAGGTTACATTTAAGATTGGAGGCAGAGGAGGGAATCAGCCAGGAAGTAGCAGGGTGAAGGGTGCCCAAGCAAAGAGAAGAGCAAGTGCAAAGGCTCCAAAGCAGTTAGTGTGCCTGGCATGTGGGTGCGACGGCAAGCCCAGTGTGACCAGGAGTGAGGGAGTGTGGAGGAGCAGAGTCACCGAGATCACAGAGGGTGCAGGAGGCAGGCCGTGAAAGGCCTGAATAAGCCACCCTAGTGACCTCAGTTTTTTCCATTCATGACTTATGAGGCCATTGAGTAGTTTAATGTGGAGGGGTGACTACAGTTTATAGTTTAACTATCACAAAACAGATATTTGAACTTCTGTTGTGTTGATAATAAAGTCAAGGGTGGGTGCAAAGACACCATCAAGGAAGTATGACACAGTCAACACTACACGACACCTAGAACAGCTTTGTTCTCCTTTAACTGCACAGGAAGACTACATTTTCCAGTCCCTTTGAGTCCAGGTGCAACCCTCTGCCTAGCTCTGGACAGTGGAACATAAGCAGAAGAGATGTATGTTATTTCCAGGCCTGGCTCCTGATAGGTCCCATGCTCTTATATGCTCTCTTCTTGCAAAGCTGGAAACTGAGAACTCTTAACAGTAGAGACGTGATGAAAGTAGTGTGGACCCCAAGTTACCACTTAGAGGGGAGCTACCCAGTAGTGCCCCTAGGACTGCTTCAAGCAATGAAGTGAATTAGAAGGAAGCTTTTATTATGTTAGGCCATCAATAATTGGGGATGTTTGTTATAGCATCTAGAAAAACTCACCCTGAAAAACATAGGAGGCCAGTGCGATGAACCATGAGAAGTTAGAATGACTTGGATCTGGTAGTGAGTACTGGCAGTTGTGAAATGTGGTTAGATCCTGGATGTATTCTGAAGGCAGTGCCCACCAGATTTTCTGACACACTTGAAAAGGAGTGTGAGAAAGAGAGTCAGGGATGACACTAAGGATTTTGGCCCAATTAAAAATATGGAGTTATCATTAACTGAGGCAGGAAAGGCCACAGGATGGAGTAGTATGCGAAGCAGGGGGAGATTCAGAGTTCAGCTTTGGGTACATGCAGTTTGCGGTGGTCATCAGACATGCAAGTAGACATGCTGAGGAAGAAGTTAAACAATTATACACAGCGATGTGCTGGAGCCAGCTTGGACCAGCAGTGAGAACCAATTATAGACATTCCAAGAATTTTACAGACTAATTACTAATATACTGGTAACTTGAAATCAGCCATGGTAGGAGTATTTTCACCACAGAAATTGGCAAATGCTCAAGTCAGGGCTTTGCTTCCCCAGAGCGCTGCTTGTTAAATATTCACTAGTATTGCTTTAGGAATTAGGAGTTAAGTGGAGAGGTCTTGTTTACAAATGATTCTTTTCTCCCAAGACATCTTAGAAACTATGTCAAATATTAGAAATATCTTTCATTTAGTGCTCTTTTCCTTGGTCATGTTCTATTAACCAATACTATTTTTAGATGACTAGTACATATACAACCCTACTTACCTATTTCAC